GGCGATGTGTTATATCGGTTGCAATTTGCGCATTTACCATTTTGCTCATTTCTTTTAGAAAAAAATTCATCGAATACTAACATATATTTATTTGTGATCATGTTTCGAGTTAATCCATATACTTTAAGTTCACTATTCTTTTAGTAGTGCATATTTCATAAAATTATTAAATAAATATAAAAAATATGAATTAAACTAAAGCTTAAACACAATAACTATAGTACAATAATAAATTAATATCTTTATCTTACTTCTTCTAGCATGTCTTTCAAATCTTGTTGTCTAGCTAGTGTTCTAAGTTCTACACAATATGTCGATATACGTGACCGTCTGTATTTATATATATATCTATCTTCATAATCTTCATATTTATCTTCATATTTATCTACATAACGTATTCCGTTTAACCAGGTTGCTAAAAATTTATCACCAATATCTCGAATATTTTCTAAGTTGTCAAAATCCATTCAATTACATCTTCATATTTAGTAGCTTTAAGTTGAAATTCTTTAATGTAACTATCAATATCCTTATTTCCACTTGTCCATTTTTGTGTTGTTTTCTGAGGGTCACATGTTCTACACCAAGCTGGCGATGTGTTACATCGGTTGCAATTTTCACATTTTTCATAATATATATCTCTTTTAGAATCAAATTTATCGAATACTAACATATATTCATTCGTGCTTGTGTTTAGAGTTAATCCATAAACTTTGTTTAACAACACTTGATTTTTGAACTTATAAAGTATAAAATATATAATGGAGGTTAAGTATGCCTGATACACGTTATTGCATTAATAAACTACAAATAAAATAATATAACCTTACTTCACTTAATATATCTGATAAATTTTGTGATCTAGTTAACGGTTTAAGATCTACATTACATGATGGTATACGTGAACGTGATTTCCCTTTATAATCTACATATCGTATTCCATCTAACCAGATTGCTAAAACTCTATCACCAATCTCATGAATAACATTTAATTTGTTAAAAGGAATCCATTCGATTACATCGTCATATTCTGTAGCATTAAGTTGAAATTCTTTAATACAATCATCGACATTTTTATTTCCACTTGCCCATCCTTGTGTTGTTTTCCGTGGGTCACATGTCAAACACCAAGCGTAAGATGCGTTATATCGATCGCAATTTGCGCATTTTCCACAATATATATCTCTTTTAGAACCAAATTCATCAAATACTATCATATATTCATTTGTGATCGTGTTTAGAGTTAATCCATATACTTTAAATTTATCATTTCTTACCTGTATATAATCTGTAAACTTATTAAATAAATATAAAATATACATTAAACTAAGCTTAAACACAATAGTTATAGTGCAGTTATAATTTAAATATTTGATCTTACTTCTTCTAGCATATCTTTCAAATTTTGTTGTCTAACTAGTGTTCTAAGTCCCAAGTTACATGATAGTATACGTAACTGTTCACCGTTATAATTTGCGTAACGTGTTCCATCTAGCCAGGTCGCAAAAAATTTATCATCAATCTTTTGAATATTATCCAATCTATCAAAAGGAATCCACTCGATTACATCTTCGTATTTTGTAACATTAAGTTGAAATGTTTTAAGAAAATCATCTACAATATTATTTCCGCTTGTCCATCCCTGTGTTGTTTTTTGAGGGTCGCATGCCTGACACCAACTTAGTGATGTATTATATCGAGTACAATCTGCGCATTTTCCATTATTAATATTCCTTTTGGAATCAAATTCATCAAATACTAACATATACATATATTCATTTGCGGTTATGTTTAGAGTTAATCCATAAACATTTATATCCTTTGACTACACATGATTTTTAAACTTATAAAATGTATAAAATATATAATAAATGTTAAACATGCTTGATACACACTACTACAGGAATTAATTAGCAAGATAAATATAAAATAATATAACCTTACTTCTTTCAAAATATTTAATAAATTTTTTGAAATTGTCAATATTTTAAGTGAAATTATACATGGCGGTGTACATGACTGCGTATATTCGTATTCCTTTCCATCTACATATCGTATTCCATCTAACCAGGTTGCTAAAAATCTATCACCAATCTTATGAATATTACTTAATTTGTCAAAGGGAATCCATTCGATTACATCGTCGTATTTTGTAGCATTAAGTTGAAAATTTTTTAATACAATCATCGACATCTTTATATCCACTTTTCCATCCTTGCGTTGTTTTCAGTGGGTCACATGTCAGACACCAAGCGTAAGATGTGTTATAACGATCGCAGTTTGCGCATTTCCCATCATATATATCTCTTTTAGAACCAAATTCATCAAATACTATCATATATTCATTTGTAGATGTTTTTTGGGTTAATCCATATACTTTAAATTTATCATTTCTTATCTGTATATAACCTGTAAACTTATTAAATAAATATAAAATATACAGTACATTAAGCTAAAGCTTAAACACAATAGTTATAGTGCAGTAATAATTTAAATATTTGATCTTACTTTTCCTAGCACATCGTTCAAATTTTGTGATTTAGTTAGTGTTCTAAGTTCCACTTTACACGATGGTGTACGTGACTGTGCATATTTATATTTAGATTTGGTCTTATCAGTTTCTCTATATACATATCGTACACCATCCAACCAAGTTGCTAAAAATCTATCACCAATCTCTTGAATATCATTTAATTTGTCAAAAGGAATCCACTCGATTACATCTTCGTAATTTTTAGCTTTAAGTTGAAATTCTTTAATGTAATCATCGACATCCTTATTTCCACTTTTCCATCCTTGTGTTGGGTCGCATGTTTGGCACCAAGCGTCCCATGTATTATTGCAATTTGCGCATTTATGTTCATAACTATAAATCTGAACATACATACCGATATGATTTAAGATTTACGTAATCTGCAATCGCAGTAACATATATATAGGATAAATAAATGCAAGTGCTGAATTGATTGGTCAAATTGTTTTATATGTGATATAATTATTGTGACAAATAAATTTTAAAATACTATTTATGCGTATATGTGATAAATAACAGATAACTCTTATGACGTTCTTTTTTATGAATTCCTCTTTCTAAAGCCAGGTGCGTTTAATATATCGATCAACATACTGCATAAATTATATTCTTGATATTTATATTCTTGATATTTATATAAGCAAATAACCCTAACAAAATCAAAAAAGTAACTTTAACAGCTTCAAAAAAGTGATTCTAACGCACCTGACTTTAAAGTACCCTAAATTTGGCATATTCATTATCTTTTAAATAGATATTTTACGATTCTGTGACCAGAATCCTAAAATCATTCGATAAGTATAATAATACCGATAACCAATTCGTCATAATACCTGTTTTTCCTTATAATTTACTAGACATTCACTAACATCCGTTTTATCTATACGTATAAGTTATTGCTCAGATAAAAATCTGGTAAGTCATAAATTCAAAACCCGAAGGCTAGTTTTTTTTTGGGGGATTTGTTATTTATATCCCAAATTTGTTATCAAAAATTTTTCAATGTTATCTTGACAACCGCTAAGTTAATTTTAATGAACGTTTTTTTATTTGAATTATACGAATTTGTAGAATTCAAATAAATAAAAATTCAACGAATTTGGCTTGGTGGGTGTCGAGATATCTTCAAGCTATAAAAAATCCAAATGTCTCAAAACGCCAAATTGTTAATAAACTTTGAGCGAAAATATCTCGACACCCCACCAAACCAAATTCGATTAACTTTTTTTATTTAAATTCTACGAATCTATATAATTCAAATAAAAAAACGTTCATTGAATTTGGCTTGGTAGGTGTCGAGATATCTTCACTCAACGTTTTAAAAAATTCAAAACGTCTATCAAATAGAAAAGTTGAGCCAAACTTTTTTTTTAAACTTTGAAGATACCTCGACACCCACCAAGCCAAATTCAATGAACTTTTTGATATTTAAATTCTATGAATATGTAGAAGGCAAATAAAAAATTTGTCTTGGTGGTTGTCGAGATATCTTTGCCAATGTTTTAAAAAATTCAAAACATCTATCAAAATAAAAGTCGTGACAAACTTTTTCTTAAACTTTAGGCTAAGATATCTTGACACTCACCAAGCCAAATTTGTTAAACCTTTTTTTTATTTAAATTCTACGAATCTGTAGAATTCAAATAAAAAATATTTGGCACAGCTTTTCTTTTTGATAGATGGTTTGAATTTTTTAAAACTTTGAGTGAATATATCTCGACACCTACCAAGCCAAATTCAATGAACATTTTTTTTATTTGAATTCTACAGATTCGTATAATTTAAATATAAAAAAGTTAATCGAATTTGGCTTGGTGGGTGTCGAGATATTTTCGCTTAAAGTTTAATAACAATTTGGTGCAACTCTTATTTTGATAGACGTTTTAGATTTTTAAAACTTTGAGTGAAAATATAACGACACCCACTAAGCCAAGTTAGATGAATTTTTTTTTTATTTGAGTTCTACAAATTCATAGAATTCAAAAAAAAAAAAAAAAAGCTCATTAAAATTAACTTAGTGGTTGTCAAGATAATATCGCTCAAAGTTTAAAAAATTTTGATACCAAATTTGGGGTATAAATAACAAATCTCTTTTTTTTTTGTCCTTAGTAGTAAGTATTTTCTTAGTATAAGACATATTTCTTTATCAAACAGCCATTACATTTAATAATATCGTTCTTTTATTTACTAATATAGCTTTTTTCCATTTGTTTTTATTAGAACTTCAAGATGTCCTTTTTTTTCAGAGGTTTTGTTTCTCACCAGGGGCTTCATTTTTTGCCAGAAAAAGTTTTATCTTCTTCCATGGGTTTTATTTTTCACCGAGGATATTGTATTTCTCAACAGGTTTTATCTTTCACTAAGGGGTCTTATCTTTCATCTCCCACTAGCTTTACAAGACTGTTTTCATCTAACAATTGTAATCAGGAATCATGGAAGTTAGGACACTTGAATCATGTAGCTATAGCTGTACCTGATCTTAAAAAAGCATCAGAGTTTTATAAAAATATTTTAGGTGCTAAGGAAGTTAGCGAAGCTGTGGTAAGTTTTTTTTCTTGCAAATTTTAATTTCATATTTTACTATTCTCATATTTTTTAATACTTTTAGCCACAACCAGAACATGGAGTATATACAGTTTTTGTGAACTTAGGCAATACAAAAATCGAGCTTTTGCATCCTTATGGTGATAAATCACCAATACAAAATTTCTTAGATAAAAATAAAAATGGTGGAGTTCACCATATTTGTATTGAGGTTTGTATTTTTATTTCAAACTAATTTTGTAATTATATATTTTTTATCTAATTATATTTAAACCACTTTATATAAGGTTGATGATATTAAAATAGCCATAAAAGATATAGCATCAAAAGGTATTAGAGTTTTAGATCCTGAACCAAAAATTGGTGCTCATGGCAATCCTGTTGTTTTTTTGCATCCA